TGTGTGTGTGTGTGTGTGTGTGTGTGTGTGTGGTGTGTGTGTGTGTGTGTGTGTGTGTGTGTGTTTTTACTATTTGTGCCTGCATAATCGAGGTATTAGCTCTTGGACCCCCGCCTTTCTAACCGATCTATTGTTCTTCTATTAAGTCTACTTCATATATTCTCTCTAACACACACACACACACACACACACACACACACACACACACACACACACACACACACACACACACACACATACACACACACACACACACACACACACACACACACACACCACACACACACATACAAACACCACACACACAACACACACACACACACACACACACACACACACACACACCACACACACAGCACTTTACCTCATGGTTGACAATTACAACCATCGCGTCCTCAGGAAGATCCGAACGACAACACTCACCTGAAAACCGGGAAAAAAGTAATTAGATAGAATTTCATTAAACCAATATAATGAGGATAACTAGAGCGGTTGTCAGCCGATGGAAGCGTAGTCGGGTTACGGGAGGAAAAGATTTATATCAAGCAAGAAAATTATAATTTAAATGGTCGAATTCCGTAGTTCTTTGTAATTTTGAGAGAAAATTCCAAAAGATAATTGAAAAGCGAGAAAGTTGCAATTTGTTGAAAGATTGGCTAATATTGCCGGAAAGATTAAAACCGTCTTGGCAGTCTGACACGAGAACGGCTTGACGGAAGAGTCTGACACGAGAACGGCTTGACGGCAGTGTCTGACACGAGAACGGCTTGACGGCAGAGGCTGACACGAGAACGGCTTGACGGCAGTGTCTGACACGAGAACGGCTTGACGGCAGAGTCTGACACGAGAACGGCTTGACGGCAGAGTCTGACACGAGAACGGCTTGACGGCAGAGGCTGACACGAGAACGGCTTGACGGCAGAGGCTGACACGAGAACAGCTTGACGGCAGAGTCTGACACGAGAACGGCTTGACAGCAGAGTCTGACACGAGAACGGCTTGACGGCAGTGTCTGACACGAGAACGGCTTGACGGCAGAGTCTGACACGAGAACGGCTTGACGGCAGAGGCTGACACGAGAACGGCTTGACAGCAGAGTCTGACACGAGAACGGCTTGACGGCAGAGGCTGACACGAGAACGGCTTGACGGCAGTGTCTGACACGAGAACGGCTTGACGGCAGAGTCTGACACGAGAACGGCTTGACGGCAGAGGCTGACACGAGAACAGCTTGACGGCAGAGTCTGACACGAGAACGGCTTGACAGCAGAGTCTGACACGAGAACGGCTTGACGGCAGAGGCTGACACGAGAACGGCTTGACGGCAGAGGCTGACACGAGAACGGCTTGACGGCAAGAGGCTGACACGAGAACGGCTTGACAGCAGAGTCTGACACGAGAACGGCTTGACAGCAGAGTCTGACACGAGAACGGCTTGACGGCAGAGGCTGACACGAGAACGGCTTGACAGCAGAGTCTGACACGAGAACGGCTTGACAGCAGAGTCTGACACGAGAACGGCTTGACGGCAGAGGCTGACACGAGAACGGCTTGACAGCAGAGTCTGACACGAGAACGGCTTGACAGCAGAGTCTGACACGAGAACGGCTTGACGGCAGAGTCTGACACGAGAACGGCTTGACGTCAGTCAAACATTAGATAATACCTCGCCCAGGCACGCCCTGAAAGCTTCCATGAAAGCAGACGCCTCCCTCCATGTATTAATACACCACTAAATGTATGATCATACACGTCTGTGTCAGCTGGACGCTACATTATTTACCAATCAATCCCCTAACATCACCGCCCGGTGTTAACACTGAGGGATAACATCACCGCCCGGTGTTAACACTGAGGGATAACATCACCGCCCGGTGTTAACACTGAGGGATAACATCACCGTCCGGTGTTAACACTGAGGGAAAACATCACCGCCCGGTGTCAACACTGAGGGATAACATCACCGCCCGGTGTTAACACAGATGGATAACATCACCGCCCGGTGTCAATACTGAGGGATAACATCACCGCCCGGTGTTAACACTGCGGGATAACATCACCGCCCGGTGTTAACACTGAGGGATAACATCACCGACCGGTGTTAACACTGAGGGATAACATCACCGCCCGGTGTCAACACTGAGGGATAACATCACCGCCCGGTGTTAACACAGATGGATAACATCACCGCCCGGTGTCAATACTGAGGGATAACATCACCGCCCGGTGTTAACACTGCGGGATAACATCACCGCCCGGTGTAACACTGAGGGATAACATCACCGCCCGGTGTTAACACTGAGGGATAACATCAAAGCCCGGTGTCAACACTGAGGGATAACATCACCGCCCGGTGTTAACACTGAGGGATAACATCACCGTCCGGTGTTAACACTGAGGGATAACATCAAAGCCCGGTGTGGATAACATCAAAGCCCGGTGTTAACACTGAGGGATAACATCACCGCCCGGTGTTAACACTGAGGGATAACATCACCGTCCGGTGTTAACACTGAGGGATAACATCAAAGCCCGGTGTCAACACTGAGGGATAACATCACCGCCCGGTGTTAACACTGAGGGATAACATCACCGCCCGGTGTTAACACAGAGGGATAACATCACCGCACGGTGTTAACACTGCGGGATAACATCACCGCCCGGTGTTAACACTGACGGATAACATCCCCGCCCGGTGTTAACACTGCGGGATAACATCACCGCCCGGTGTCAACACTGAGGGATAACATCACCGCCCGGTGTCAACACTGAGGGATAACATCACCGCCCGGTGTTAACACAGAGGGATAACATCACCGCCCGGTGTCAACACTGAGGGATAACATCACCGCCCGGTGTTAACACTGACGGATAACATCACCGCCCGGTGTTAACACTGCGGGATAACATCACCGCCCGGTGTCAACATTGAGGGATAACATCACCGCCCGGTGTCAACACTGACGGATAACATCACCGCCCGGTGTTAACACTGAGGGATAACATCACCGCCCGGTGTTAACACAGAGGTATAACATCACCGCCCGGTGTCAACACTGACGGATAACATCACCGCCCGGTGTTAACACTGAGGGATAACATCACCGCCCGGTGTTAACACAGAGGATAACATCACCGCCCGGTGTCAACACTGAGGGATAACATCACCGCCCGGTGTTAACACAGACGGATAACATCACTGGAGCACCTGGTCATTGCTACTACACATCCTGCTAACGACCCAAGCCGGGCTAATGGACTCCGGGTGATAAAAATTGGAACAATTTGCAATATTTAAATTTGTTCCCAATTTGCATGTTCGCAATTTTGTCTATTATCTTTATTGGTTCAATTGTTCCACGTTTTTTGTACTTGGCTTTAGGCTCTGGCACTATTACCCATCGCCATCTCTGGGATAATCCTAACTATCTGCCAGAGATAATTATGGCGATTACTGCCAGTGGTAATTGTGAGAATTATTGCGTGATAATTAAGTCCAATATCTGTCCGTGGATTGGTCGGTACAGTGACGGTCTCGCTTCTTGATGGGATCCGCGTTCAATCCCCGAAGTTCCAAGTGGTTGGGGGCCATTCCTTTACCCCCGTCGTCATATCCCAGGTCCTTGTCCTCGTATCCCAGCTCGATGTCCTCGTATCCCAGCTCGATGTCCTCGTATCCCAGCTCCTTGTCCCCGTATCTCAGCTCCTTGTCCTCGTATCCCAGCTTCATGACCTCGTATCCCAGCTCCTTGACCTCGTATCCCAGCTCCTTGTCCTCGTATCCCAGCTTCATGACCTCGTATCCCAGCTTCATGACCTCGTATCCCAGCTCCTTGTCCTCGTATCCCAGCTCCTTGTCCCCGTATCCCAGCTCCCTGTCCTCGTATCCCAGCTCGATGTCCTCGTATCCCAGCTCCTTGTCCCCGTATCTCAGCTCCTTGTCCTCGTATCCCAGCTTCATGACCTCGTATCCCAGCTCCATGACCTCGTATCCCAGCTCCTTGTCCTCGTATCCCAGCTCCTTGTCCTCGTATCCCAGCTCCATGACCTCGTATCCCAGCTCCTTGTCCTCGTATCCCAGCTCCTTGTCCTCGTATCCCAGCTTCTTGTCCCTAACCGTGTGCTATATAGCCATACCCGCCTTAACACTGGATATCTTCACCGGTATAAAACAAAGAATCATTGACAAATAAATTAACAGTCCTGCTGTTGGGGTTGTTAACGTCATGGGATGTCTAACAACCATTGGAGACCTCGCACGTGGATACATAACTGCTAACAAAGCCGACATAGTGGCAAGAGTCGAGGCCTTCCTCGATGACTCTGTCCTAAGTAACTTTGAACGAATCAAACAGAGCACCAAGTGGTACAGGTAAGACTAACGAATCAAAGGCTATTGGCGGCACCCCGGGGACAGATGCTACTGTCTGCTTTCATAATGTTCAAAAACGTTGTTCATAAATGTTTGTACATTTATAATTGAGTTTGTTTCCAGAATATTATTTACCCAAGAGGAATTGCCGAACTATCTTCTTCCGGATATGGACGATGGCTTATATCAATATTATCTTTTGGGAAGGTTATCACCGTCAGTGGTAAGCCAGTGTTCCAGTAACGTATCTAACTGGTCATCCACCTGAGCTACAGCACCAAGACAAAGGACTACACCTCATCCTCTTGAGTGGCACAAACCACCACTGGATGCATCTGACTGAGATGAACTCTTAAAGTAACCTTTGAGCTGACGACCCACGTGTATTTGTGTATACATCAGTCAGGGCTCTCACTAGTGGTCACACACGTGGCACAGTATCTGATTGTCGACATATATCCTAGTTACTTGACGGTAGAAAACCTTGTTACTTGTTGACATAAAACTTAGTTGTGTTCTGACCTGAGGGGGTTGGGGCTAATGGAACTTAAACCCTCCAAAGAGAGCTCTGGTTGTTGCACCAGACTGTTACTTGCGTACACGTGGACAACGTCCCCCCAACCACTCTCTGCCGGAACAGTCAACCGACCTCGGCAGCCACACTCCTGCTTCTGTCGGTCGACCAGCAATGAACTCTGGAGTGCTTGAAGTTGTCTCAGGAGACCACCCTGTATGCCTCTTGATCTTGGCGAGGGGTTCAGCATCACATATTTAGGGGTGCGGCTCCAGCACTGGCCTCGTTGTTCTATGTACACACCCTATCTGAGCCGCCTGACTCCCCATTCTCTCCTTGTTTGGAATGATCTAAAACTCCCCTTTTACGGAGTCAATCTCTCATCTTACACTGCGTCTTACACGCCAATAAGCATTCAAGCACTTTCCCTTATACATTATGTGTGATCACCATGAACCTCTGTTCTGCTCCTAGAGGCTCACTACCGTGTATATCTCTAGGCTCTCCAAAATAGTCAACAAGACTCTTCTGCAGTCCTCCCAAACTGCTACACAATGAAGTTCTCATCAAACATCAGTGATACTCCACCACTGATCTCACAGAGACACGTGACTGTCCTTTACACTGCTTGAGGTCAACTCCTCTACACTGCTTGAGGTCAACTCCTCACTATGGAGCTCTGCTCTCCCACAGAGTTCAGCATACACTTCTTCTGCCTCGAAGTTCCCTCCATTAACTTCTTCCCTGGCCTGGAAGTTCTTCCATCAACTCCTCCCCCAAACAAACCTGCAATTTCCATTGCCATGCCAATAAAATGTTTCCCTACTAAAACATAATTAAATGTATTCACAGAAAATAAATCTCCTCCATCTGACATCTCTTTAAACTCTAACACTTTGCGACGGTCCTCCCCCATCTTGGGCGAGTCCATTCTTGACGTACCCAGACCTGTTGCTGGCTGTCTCGCTGTCAGGAGCTGAGGGAGCTCTCCTCCCTTAGTCACCCACTGACATTCGGCGAGGGTGGACGCATCGCCGTCCCCTCCAGCTTGTTTCCTTATCTCTACTCTCTTATTTCAGCTTACTGCCTTAATAAAATACATGTACTATGTACAAAAACACTTGCCATGATCGCTGGGCACACGATCAAACACAGGCAACAACTGTTATATTAGCTTAGCACAGAATTTGAGTTTCGAGGGCGCTCAGGTCCTGGTCCTCAACAATGGCGCCCACAAAATCGCTATAGGACTGCCTTACAAGACTTCTTCTGGCCCTGACTTGACCACTTTAAGTCGTCCTCAGGCTTTACACATAAACACCTGCTTGATTATCTCCTCTTGTAGGGGCAGACAACTAGGGGTTCTTCCTTTTCTGCCAGGAGCTGAAACACAGTACAACCCTCTCTCACGACCTTTGTTGCTCAAGTGAGGTAAAGACGTCCCGGCGAGCCTCACACTTGGTCAGCAAAGTATCAATATCTCATGTCATGTCACTTCTTTACATGTTCATCCTCTGCCCATGCTTTTAAACTATTCATTAACACTTGTCATGCATTTAGTATATATATGTCTGGGAATCCACTACTCCACCTGTTTAACAAGTCATTCCTAAGTGGAGTGTTGCCCACACAATGGAAACACGCAATAATTATTCCCATACCGAAGCCTAATGACCCTGGTAATTACAGACCTATCAGCCTCGTGTCATGCACTTGCAAGATGCTTGAAAGGATCATCCTAAACCGACTGTTGCACAAAATAGGCAGATTTGGGGAGGGGGTCAATGGATTTGTTAAAGGACGGAGCACAGCAAATTGTATAGTTTATTACTTGGCTAATGACACGGCTAGGTACTCTGTATTTGTTGACATCAAAGGAGCCTTCGACAAAGCACAGTGGATTGCGATCCTGGACGAGCTTGCATGCATGGGTGTCAAGGGGAGACTCATGAAATGGGTTGAAGACTACATCACAGGAAGGAAAGCCAAGGTTTGCTTCAATGGAGCAGGCTCCAGAACAATGAATATGGAACTCGGGACCCCCCAAGGCGGAGTCTTAAGCCCTACACTATTCAATGTACTTATAAACGCCATTGCAAATATTGATTTTCCGGAAGGAACACAACAAGTGGGATATGCAGATGATGTCCTAATACAAGCTCCCACCTTGGGAAAAATTGAACAGTCCATTGAACTCCTTGGAAGGAAATGTATTGAGCTCGGTTTCACTCTCTCCACAAACAAGACGAAGGCATACTCCCATCACAAGCGGAGAGCAAATGAAGAACTGCAAATTAATGGTGTAACACTTGAATGGGTTGACCACTATCGGTACCTTGGCGTCACTGTCGGCTCTAACAAGGGAAAGAAAGAGAAGCTCAATCAACTCATAGGAACATGCAAAAGTCGACTCAGGGCACTGAAAGCTATGACTGGAATGGACATGGAGCCTCTATTGCCGTGCTTAAAATGATGTACACAGCCTATGTGCGCTCCGTCATAGACTATGCCGCACCAGTTCTGTGCACCTACTCCCAAAGCGATATGAAAAGGCTTGAAAGCATTCAAAATGAAGCCATAACAATCATTCTTGGAGTTCCAAGAACTGCCAAAACGTCTAATCTACGAGAGGAGTTGTCCCTTCCCAGTATTAAAAGCAGAATTCAGGAGCTGAATGCTAAGCTTGCAATTAGGATAGCCAGAGATCCCCATTACAATGATATTGCCAAGAAAAAACTGAGCTCTGTGCTACTTTCAGGGGGAAACAGGAGAAGCAAAAAATGGCATCACAGAGCAGTCTGCTACATCGAAGAGCTTCACCTGCTTGAGCAAGCCCGTGAGCTCCTGCCTGTAGAGAGGTTGCCTCCCTGGGAGGATGACTCATGCAAGATCATCATCAATGAAATGGCAATGAAAAAATCCAACATGATACCACAAGAAATGAGGTACAAGTATCTCGAGGAAATTTATAAAGAAGCCGGAGATGAACTAGATCAAATCTACACTGACGGGTCATCTAATCCTATCAATGGCAGGGCTAGTGCAGCATACACGGTAATCAAGGATAATACTTTCCAACGCAGAAATGAAGAAAAAGCTCGTATTGAGAACTATGCCTCTTCAATGCAAGCAGAGCTAACTGCCATTGTTATGGCGTTAAGGTTTCTTGAACGGAACACTAATGGTGCAGTGATTTGCACCGATTCAAAAGCAGCACTGCAAAGCCTAAGTAAAAATCAGGCAGAAAATCTTGCAATAGTCGCTGAAATTAAGAGAGCTGTGAGAGTACTTACCAAGCAGGGAAGAGTCATCAAGTTTCTGTGGATCCCCTCCCATGTTGGAATATGTGGGAATGAACGAGCAGATGTGCTGGCTGCTGAAGGCGCTGAAGGAGACCATATTGAATACTTCATACCCAAGACTCAACTACAAATTAGAGGTATTATCAGGCAACATCACCGTGACAAGGTAACTGAGGAAAGGAGGATAGAAGCACAAACCAGTGAATCTGTACGATGGTAC